CACACATCAAAACCTCTTTAAAGGATCGGCACGTTCCTGGATCACGGCATGGGCCATGGTGGAGGAAGAAAAGACTCTTTCATGTGTGCGTTGGTGGAGACGGAGAGGGATGCAGTGGAACAGGAGCGAGAAATGAATCTTATACAGCAAAATGCAAATCCCAACTAACCGCTACACTCCATGCTGCTGCTGACTTATCTGAATGCAGCCTGGTGGGACGTTGTGCAGTGGTTAAGGTGTGGGGGAGCAGTAAAACAGCTTAGGCCCAGAGCACTCAGTGAGGACATCACACAATGCAGCCTCAGTGACTGTTCAGAGGTCTTATGTTGTGAGGTGGAGCAGCTGTGGACGGACTTGTTGTTCAAGCACATCCCTGCTGGATCGGATTGCAATCCAGGGAATTTGGAGGCCAGGACAACACCTTGCACTCTTCCCGCAAAATGTGTGCAGTGTGGCAGGAAGCATTATCCTGCTGAAAGAGGCCTATCAGGGAATACCATTGCCATGAAAGGGTGAACCTGGTCCACAACGTTTAGGTAGATGGTTCTACATCCACTGGCTTGTCTTCTTCTCACAGTACTTCCTGGTGCCATCACTTTCCCAGGTAAACGATGCACATGCACCCAGCTGTCCATGTGATGTAAAAGAAAACGGGACTCGTTGGACCGGGTGACCTTCTCCAAGGTCCAGCCCCAACGCTCCTGAGCCCATTTTGGGTACTTCTGACAGTGGACAGAGGTTAGCATAGGCTCTCTGACCGGTCTGTGGCTTCGCAGCCCTGTACACATCCCTCCTCTAACCATCATTAAAAATTTCTGTGACCCTTCTGCCAGTTCAGACCAGATGGGATAGCCTTTGCTGCCCTCGCACATCAATGAGCCTTGATGTATTGATGTTTTGGAGAAAGTCCAACCCAGTCACCTAGCAATAAATTCAGCCTTGGTCAAAGTCGCTCTGGTCTTCATACCTGCCGATTTCTCCCATATCCAAGTGACTACGAGAACAGACTGTTCGCTTACCATCCAGTGTATCCCAGAACTTGACATGCACATTAATAATCACTGTTACTTATTTCATCTTTGGGTGGTCATAAAGTTTTGGTTCTTCTGTCAATTTTTGTATAGAATGTTTTCTATTTATATTCTACTGTTTGTCCTGTGCCCCACATTCTTTTCCACTTCTGGTCATAAAAGTATGTCATACAGCATCAGAAATCACAAGCAAGAAAATTTAAGATTCATTCAGAGTGGTTTGGTATGAAATTGTTCACTGTAGAGAAACTTACTGACTCAGATTTTCTTTACAGTGATAATAACTGTGATAAAATGGCTGCGTCTGCAACACAAACATAGCCATTTTACTTACTATCCAAAATGACCAGTGAACCTACACTTGTCTTTAAGTTTTTACGTGTAATGTTGATGGTAAAATAGTGGTAAATCTGGTAAAATATGTATTCTTTTGGGACTATTTTGCCTTATAACGCCCGGCATGTACCTTTCTGCCATGAAATGCATTTTCAATCCATCTTCATCTCATCAGATATATCAGATACAGTGTACTTGTGACCATTTAATGTGATAACTTTCTGTGATGTAGCTTTTAGAGGCATTAAACAACAATTTTGACTCTTATTGACTGAAAATTATTAAAGTAATCATCACAAAAGAGTGAGACTTTTCATATTAGAGGACTTTGTTCAATACAATATGAAACAACTCACTTATGAATATCAATGAATCAATGAATATACCTACCACTGTAATTACAGAAATTCTGGAATCAGCCTCAATTCCAATTCTGTAAGTCAATTATACACGTTTTACTCTCACTTCCAAAAATGAAAACACAGGGAATGAGATTTAAAAAAATAAGATAAATAAAACATACAACACTAATTATGTTCATAATGACCAGTACGTTTCTCTAGAGTGAACCATTCTGAACGCCCTTAAATTATGCAGACTTTTTGAAAAATCAGTGGAATTCCTCTTCTAACTATTCCAGATTTTGTTCTGCATATTGAGTCAAATATAGAAAATATTAGGACTTTAAACATCCCTACAGATAGTCACGTTAATGTATTTAATATATGAATGAAGTGCTGGATCCAAACTGGGAGTAGCCGGTTCCAGATCTGGCTTGTTCCAGCACCAATTAAGTCTTGTTGGAATTATTTGTTAGCCACAATAGCCACACAAGATGAAAAACAAAATGAGCAAACTTCGCGCACCAAACATGTCTTGGCTGGTCGTAGGACAAATGTGATTTTTTGGGATCAACTATTAGAAAAATTAAGTCAGAAATTGTTACATTAAATTACAGTATATTATTGCAATGAGGCACCAAATTATTTTTTTCTTTGTGTCTAAATGCATGGAGATATGTTAAAAACTGCATGCACCAGCCTCCTTGGCCAACAAACAGTCAGCACCCACTTTTACCTCCGCCCACTGGGACAAAACCTGGCCTTTATTAGAGTGATGCACATGCCCCAAACTTCCCCTTTCTGCCTCAAACACACAATCTCCGCCCAGCTTCGGACGCGGACGGCTTCTACTGTCATCGGATTCTGTCATTGCTCTCTGTAGCAGATGCAAGTTAGACTGGAATCACAGCAGGAGATGTGAAATTGCATTTGCATGGCAGGCTAGAAGTGCCCCAGACTCTTAATCACAGGCTTTAGATCTTAATAAGCGGTTAGATAAATCATCATGAGGAGCTTTAAATGACCCTGTCTTATATGTGGTATGATCGGCTGGACGTTTTGCTCCCCTTCACATTGTAAGAATGCCACACTAGGGTTACTGAAGTGTTCAGAAATAGCTAATCGTTGAACATGAAAGGGTAATTTCATAAGTTCATAATTTTAAAGGGGCAATCCGACCCAAAATGAGAAATTTAACCATTACATCTGTGGTCAACATGTCTACATGCCTCCTAGAGCAATGCCAGAATAGTCTCCTCCACAATATTTTCTGGTTGAAAGGCTAGAAAAAAATTCTGATGATGTATTTTGAAGGTGGGAGGGAACTTTAGAAAAAATACAAGCACTTCAGGGTGGATACTTGAGGATCGGCTGTTTTTAAAGTGTGTTTTTACTAATAGAAAGCTGAATATAATGTCTACATCAGAGACTATGCTGTGTTTCTTTATCTCAGTGGGGGAGGGTGTCAATGACTGCATGACGTATATGCTTAATGCACGTTGGGTATTGTAGTTAGAGACCAATGATGGATGAGAACACTAAAAGGAAACAAAATCAAGAATTCTGTCAAACTAATGAGACTAAGGGATGCAAAGCTGCACTACAGAATATTACAAAACATGATAAACAGCATTAATCATCGGTTCTATGCCCTTTAATGTATATTAAGGTAACAACATTCTATTTAAAGTAATTTTTGATTGTTTCTGTTTGTTCATTTGTCATGGAAATTAAATGTTTACCAATGTAAAGGGCAGTCAGCATTTTCAAATAGTGTAAAAACTTAACCTAAAAAATTAAGGTTACAAAGTCATTGTCTATCAGTGATGTTGTGTATGTGAGGGTCCTGCTTTAGGAGTTTATACAGTCATGGCCTATTTCATCTCCTACGTTCAACTGCTGTGAATGTAGAAGACCAGACATATCATATCATAAAAATGACCGTGCTTTATATCCGTATCTATCTTATTAACAGTTTTAATGAACCTCAGCAACAAAATTAATTGGAATAAACAAATTAATAGATAAATATGACAGCCAGAACTGTTCTCATTAACTCATAAAAGAGCTCAGCTGTGTGTGTATTTAGCCCAGCGTGTGAGAATGTGTCCAAAAAAGTGTTATCTTTTATTTTTTACAGTAGAAACGTAATTTGTATGGAAGCCCAATTCTGGCAATAAAAATAGCCATAAGTCATAACAATGAGAAAGTTTTCTAGAATTATGACCTGTTATCTTAAAATTATGACACAGAATGTTTGTTATCTCATAACAATGAGACAATAACTCTTAATTATGCCTTAGTATCTCATAATTGCTAATTAGTATCTCATAATTATGACTTCCTATCTCATAATAATGAGCTGCCATGTCATAATTATGATTTATAATCTCATAAGTATGAGATTAGGCTCTCTCATAATAATGCAATTCTATCTCACAGTTATGACTTAGTGTCTCATAATTATGACTTGCTATGTCATAATAATGAGATCCTGTCTCATAATTATGACTTGCTATATTGTATTGATAAGATCTCATAATGTGGAGAAAGTTTCTCATGATTTTGACTTAGTATCTCAATTATGACTTGCTATATCATAATGATGACTTACTATTACATGACAATCACTTACTATGTTACTATGTCTCATAATAATGAGATTCTATCTTGTAATTATGACTTGGTATCTCATATTTATGACTTGCTATCTCATAACAATGAGATCCTGTCTCATAATTACTACTTAGCCTCTTTCATAATAATGAGCTGCCATGTCATAATTATGATTTATAATCTCATAAGTTTGACTTGCTATCTCATAATAATGACATTCTATCTCATAATTATGATTTGGAATCTCATAATTATGACTTGCTATGTCATAATGAGATCCTGTCTCATAATTATGACTTGCTATATTATGATGATGGTGATATCTCATGATATGGAGAAGGTTTCTCATGATTTTGACTTAGTATCTCACAATTATGACTTACTACATCATAATTATGACTTAATATTACATGATAATTACAACATAGTAAGTGATTAAGACTATGACTTAGTATCTCATAATAATTCATAGTCATTCATTATTATGAGACCTTAAGCCATAATTATGAGAAACCTTCTCATTGTTATGACATACTAAGTCATAATTATGACATACTCTCATTATTAAATATGGCCTTTATACTACATGGCCATTTTTCAAGCTGCAGAAACAGGCTTTCACAAATTTATCAGATCTAATCCAGATGCTAAAGAAAAATGTCCACGTTCAACATACCTGCCTGCTTGTAAGACACCAGATAGGGTGAAGAGTCCAAAATCAGTGATGACCACTTTGCCATTGTCGTAGAAGACGTTCTTAGATTTCATGTCCTTGTGAAGGATTCCTTTGGCATGCAGGTAGCCCATGCCCTGCACACAAACAAACACACACAAAATGTTCCAAATGTATCAGAGTCGCTCCACGTTTTCAGTAGATACAGCAGATTATGCTACTTTCTCATCACAAATCGATAAAACCTCCACAGTAAATGACTTGAGCTGCTTTTTCCCAGCATGAACAAAACCACTCACAAATGCCTGCAATATCAGAAGAGATAAATCAAGAGATATTGCAGAAGGATGAATATGAGAAACATGGGGAAAATCAGGTTTTTATAAGGGCCTTAACCACGGTAGATATGGAAGGAGTGGAGCCATACCTTCACCATCTCCTGCGCGATTTGTCTGGTCTTGTTGACGTCGAGGATGACTTTAGCGTCTCTTATTACTGCGTAAAGCGTCCTCCCTTTACACAGACTAGAAGAGACAATGGAAAACAAGTTATGCGCAGCAGTAGCCATTGCATCCCCTACATGGCATGGGCGCAGAAGTCGACAGCGTGATTTGAAAGCCGGTTCAGGCAGCATTTCTCACAGGATGCTTATCAACACCACAGCTGTAGGCATATGAATGTAACGCCAACGTTGGCTGCAAGGCACTGGGGGTGGCATTCAGATGAGATACACTGAAATTTCGTGTTCGTCTACAGAGTGGATGGGCAAGAGAGGGACAGAATTCACACTGTCTTAGTGTTGTAGAACTCAAACCTCAAAAGTTCTTTATGGAGTTGTCTCATTCCTCTAGAACTTGTGTGGCATTTGTAGTTGACAAATTAAATACTGTCACCAATACTGATTTTAAGGAGTTCAAAAACTGACACTTATTGACTGAAAACCAAAAGTAATAATCATAAATGAGCGAGACTTTCATATTAGAGGACTTTAAATATACATAGCACAGTGTAATTCCAGAAATTCTGGAATTAGCTTCAATTCCATTTCCAAGAGTCAATTATACACATTTTTATTCTCATTATAACTAAAATAAGATAAATAAAACATACAACACTAATTACATTCATAATATACCATTATGATTCATGTTATGAATGATAGGGACTCTTGACATATTAACTTCACGTGCTATCGCCTCAGTTTTTTTCTCAGGAACATAAGATATCAGTTTAATTCAGCAATAGATCATGGTCTCAAGAGGTCCTTGGGCATAAGAATCTATGGAGGCCACCCTACAGCCTAACAGTAACACAAAAAAATAGACCTAAAAAATAAACAGCTTATGTATGTTTGTTTATGTGCACTTTGAACAGCAGAAAATAAATAAGTTAACAAATGAAACTACTGTTTGTGAAATTCTCCTTTAACGTGCAGCAGCCTATTATTCCTGCACAGTTATATTCCACATATAATTGATGATGATTTTAAATAGAGTGGCTGGGTGTGGGCAGAAAGACCTTTACCTCTTTTATTTAGTCATCACATAAAGAGTTCTTTTGCAAAAAAATGCAACCTTTTAAAAAAACATGCTGATTGTCGAGTTATTTTTAACACACAGCTCGTTCTGGACCCTAAATACGTTTTGTCACTAAAGCTGTTTTTGTTCATTGTCAAGGCATTGCAAGTTCACGTTTTACAGCAGAATCAGTCAAACATCAGCGCTGTTCTTTAGCAGAACCCAATGAATCCGTTCAGTGAATCAATGCGCAGTATTCCAGTCAGGTGACACAACACTGCCGCAAACTGTTTGAGGCAGGATCTCAAATAGCTCCCTTCTCCCTACAAAGTGCAGCACATAGGTCTTAAAATAACGCCTACTGCATCTAAACAGAGCACAGTGAAAGAATGTATAGCTCTGTTTTGTGTTTAGAGCTGTTATATGTCATTATGTTCAGTACTGTATGTGCCTGTACTGTGATTGCATTTAGGACATTCTGTTCTGCCTATTTTTGTTTATCCCTACATGGTCATGTCTGTCACACCTGTCGCTTGTCATGTATAGGCTGGGCCTGATCTTGGCATGAGTCCAGCTATAAAACTGCGTCAGTCCATTGTTTTATGGGCTGGCTAGGTGTCTGGTACCTGCACACAAGAATAAACTTCAATTCTTCAGACATACGGCTGGTTCCCTGGTTTGGGTCGCGGTTTGGACGCTTCGACAGTATGTCTAACAAAGAACCATTTGGGATTCAGCTGTGTGCACAATTCCATACTGGAGATAAAGTGCGATATTTGGGTGTAAAAGTAACATTTCATAACTCACAAAGTGCACTATGTAGGGAGCAGTGAGCCATTTGAGACTCAGCCTTAAGATTTTCCAAAGTATGATCTTATAGATGTTTAATATTGCACATTAATGGCCTTTCTGTTGCAATTTTCAGCACTTTACCTGCTTGTTTTATGTTAAAAAAAGCTAGATATTGCACTTAACTTGTATCCTTTGCATGGCTTTGTTTAACATTGGATCTGCTTTTGCCAAAAAAGTAAATCATTTTAATGAAGTTTAATTTTGAAAGTTACCTGTGTTTTGTTGAGTTATTTTTACTTAATCAAAACAACCCAACTGCAGGTTGATTGATGTTACCTGGAATGCGCAAAAAAAAAAAGATATCTGTTTTTGCTTATGAACTCTTCACATCTTCCACCATGTGAGGTATTCAGCAGAATATCTCACGGGGCATATGCATGCCACCTCCACATGGAACCGAGTCACAAAAACCTGATTCTCAAATGCCTGGACTGAGAGGACTGACTCTTTTGGCAGCCTCAGTTTCACCTTAACAATGTAGGACTTTGTCTGTTGGGCACTAGTCTAGAACTCAGCTTGAGCTGTTCTGGATTTGCTCAGTGTGACTCTAATGCAGAGGCTCCAGGCTTCACCCCTGCAGGGTGGAGGGAATAGAGGCAGCGCCCACTGTGCCACCTGACGCTGCTGTCTGGGTCTGACCCTAGGCCTGTTCTCACCCTGCTGAAATCCATATTCATTAGGGTGAGAGCTCTGAAGTGATCATTTGGTAAAAAATCTGATTAACACAATTTCTCCCCTTTTCCCAAATGTAGTCAAGCAGTCAAAACATGTTTTGCCTGGTGTTTGCTTCTGTAGTTTCACAGTGGAGCTCTGAGGCTAGTATAGCTAACAAGTAATGGAAGCTTAAACTCCACCAGTTAGCACTGTGCAAACTGCATGCTGAAATGTGTTTCTGACCCTGCATGACAATATGAGCCATAAAAATGTACAAACAAGATTCAACACGCAAGATGGCTGTTACTACTGTATGAGCTATACAACATACTTTTGTCCATTTTTTTTGATAATTGCATTACAGGTCTGCACAAACATGAAGCCTAAGCCCAACCCATATCCATATCTTTGAGTCCTGACCCAACCAGGTGCGACTGGTACTGCTAAATCATTCAGATAGACAGATTTAACTGATTTAACAGCCTCCTTTTCTTGCATCAAATACCATGTTTGGTAAATCCCCGTCCTGTGTGTGGTAAGTGGGTTTGGAAGTTGGAATCCAAATAAGTGAAGAGTACATTCACATGTTGAGGTTCTACTTATGTTTGAAATGATTTTATTGCAAGACGTTTTAGCTTTTAATAGTAGGTTTTTTTTTTTATTTGCAATGGATTTTACAAGGAATTCACAATTTAGACGTGTGAAAATGATTTTACTAGTAATAATTTCTTACAAGGAAAAAGAGAATTTTTAATAGTCAATACTTAATATTTAAAAATGAAAAAAATCAAAAAATAGGAATTAAAGCTAAAATGGTGTGCCATAGTAATCAGAATCTCAGCATGTTAATTTAATTTTAATTGTACTAAAAACTATAAAAATATTATTGAATTATTTGATTGAGAAATTAAATCCTATGTACTAAAACATAATTCCTACAATTGAAAGTGGAATTTTAAAATGCTGTAATACATTTTTTGTCAATTCATTTTTATTCATCTTTAGTAATATGAATATGTATTAACTCATTTGCATATTTATTCTGATTGGCTCTTGCCTAGAATGTAAAAAATAACACAGCATTAAAGAGACACTGAATAGCTTTATAAATATTAAGCTTTATGAACAACTCTTATTTATTGCGTCGCACATTTTGAGTGATGGTGCACTGTTACCACCAACCTTTATGAATCTGGGCCAAAGACACTGCACATTTAATACTTACATAATTATATCTTCAAACAAAACTATATCCAGCACATTAAAAAAAAACACAAATCATTAAAAAAAAAAACTCAAGATAATGATGATGATGATGAAAATCTGGCCCAAACCTGGCCTGAATCCTAGAAGTAGTTACTAGCACCTCCAATTGATTTTTTTAGCAACGATTCTCAGAGCACCTCTCTGGACCTCTACTGACACAGGTCCTCCCCAAATATGGGTGAGGTTAAAACTACAGGTAAACATCCAGTTAATGATGTTCATTACTCTACACACTTTCTCCTGAGGTCAGTCCACTACTGCCCTTTCTGTATGAAAATGTAGGTGAATCACCTCTGCACTATTTTCAAGTGCTACTAATGTCAACACGACTCACTTAAACAACCTCTGGCTTGGACCTTCCCTGTATAATTATGCTGTACATGGAAGAGCTGCTTGTTTGCTTTTCTGATGAAAGGCCACACAATTATTCCACGCAATATGAAAACCAATCAATAAACAGTCACTCATGGCAACGCAAAGACAAACAATCAATATTTATGTTCCTTGCATGCTTATAGCCAGGCCGAGTCCATTTCTCTCAATTCCAGCTCAATTTGGCCCTTTTAGGACCACGGCTCCTGGTTAAGTGCTTTAAATTGAACAATTACAACTTTTGACCTTTTTTCAGGTACAGTGAAAACAGCTCTTGCTACAAAACAGCTAAACAAAGATTACACAGCTATTTGCTTTAATTTGCTACAGTCCTGGATTTGCAGCAATGCAACTGTTCATTGCTGTTTTGAAGCACTTCAGCGCGCTTCGAGTGGTCTTTGGAGTGACCCGGTCACAAGAGGAAAAGTGTGTAAATTGGTATTATTGTATAAACATTTCCACTGACAAGCCAGATACAAACAAAAACACACTTTCTCTGGTGCATTTATAGTTTTATGTACACTAGTATAGCAGCGCTCTTGAATATCTCCCAGTCAATCTTTTGGCACAGAAGAAACATGAAACCCTAGTTAGCACATCAGTGTGCAGCACCATTAGAAGCTTTAGAAGTCACCAGTAACAACACAATCACATTGTAGTTTTTATTACAATGTGATATTATTTCTCACTTACACCGATCAGGCATAACATTATGTCCTTGTTTCTACGCTCATTGTCCATTTTATCAGCTCCACTTACTATATAGGAGCTCTTTGTAGTTCTGCAGTTACAGACTGTAGTCCATCTGTTTCTCTGCATACTTTGTTAGCCCCCTTGTACCCTGTTCTTCAGTGGTCAGGACCCCCATGGACCCTCACAGCAGTAACAGCACTGCAGTGACACTGATGTGGTGGTGGTGTGTTAGTGTGTGTTGTGCTGGTATGAGTGGATCAGACACAGCAGTGCTGCTGGAGTTTTTAAACAATGTGTCCACTCACTGTCCACTCTATTAGACACTCCTACCTTGTCTGTCCACCTTGTAGATGTAAAGTCAGAGACGATAGCTCATCTGCTGCTTCACAGTTTGTGTTGGTCATCCTCTAGTCCTTCATCAGTGGTCACAGGACGCTGCCCACAGGACGCTGCTGGCTGGATATTTTTGGTTGGTGGACTATTCTCAGCCCAGCAGTGACACTGAGGTGTTTAAAAACTCCAGCAGCACTGCTGTGTCTGATCCACTCAGACCAGCGCAACACACACTAACACACCACCACCACCACCACCACGTCAGTGTTACTGCAGGGCTGAGAATGATTCACCACCCAAATAGTACCTGCTCTGTGAGGGTCCATGGGGGTCCTGACCACTGAAGAACAGGGTAAAATTGGGCTAACAAAGTATGCAGAGGATACAGAATATAAATCAAATGTAATTTTTAATTCATTGCTAATTCTGTAATCAATAATATAACACTAATAAATCTACAGCACCAGCAGAGATTAAGCTTAATTAACTTATTATCTATAGTTTAGGTTTATCTATATATTCAGATTAACAGTTCCTGGCTTAGTTTTACAGTAAACCTAGGTTAAATTTAATCCAGTAGCTTCATTACTTTAAACTCGAATTTAAACTTTGTTTAGGGATAAGTTGGTTGATCTTGCTATTAAGACGAACAGCTTGGCAGATAGTCAACAGGCTAACTGGTTAAAAGGCTAGTCAAATAATATTCAGTCTTATGCTTTAGATTTGAGTATTTATGGAGCATTAATTGTAAAACTGCAATATATAGAGTAACATACAGGGCTGGGTTTCTCAAAAGCATCTTAGCACAAAGACGAATCGTAAATGGCAGCCTGAGCATCACAGCGAACACTCTCTCTATCAGTTAAGATGATCTTAACACTAAGATGCTTTTGGGAAACTGGGCTCAGAGCATTTGTATTTAAAATATTTCACCAGCAGGTTTTGTACATAATTTAAACATTTTTCTCAGTGCTGGCTAAATGGCTCCGCCTGAGACTTAGCCTAGGCCTTATAACGGTACACTGTTTAAATGTCTAAACTCCTTCACTGCGAGCTGGTTTTGTGTCCATATGATAGTTTTCACTTAAAAGAGAAGAAAAAAGTATAGATAATGATTAGCATCGAGAGTAAGATTGTTGCTGTTTATTTATACTGCTGAATCCATCATAGTGGACAATAAAAATGAATCACAGATTAAGGCTTTAATTGCAGATTTGTTAATCCATGACTAAAATGAAGTGGTGCAACACAACTCGATTTAAAATCAAACAATTCCTTTATTAGCTCTAAACTGCTTCTTGACCCACCCACACACTTCTAAAAGCTAACAGGTGTCAGCGGAGATGCAGGCCAGGCTGCCTGCTGAGTGCAAAGATGCTGCTGATGTTTCTATACATCGTTACCCTTTTCACACTCTTTTCGACAGAACTCCTTGTTTACTGTCAAAAGGGCTGGAGAGGGAAGTGGGGTTGGAGGGGATGGTCAAAGAATGACATCAGCATTTTACAAATTGCGTGTATCTGAAGTAAACAGTCAATGGAACAGGTCAATATGTCAACCGTTATTGCTTGTCAGTGAAAAAACTGAAACTAGAACTTCTGCCTTCTACATTCCTGAAACAGATGCCCCAACGTGATGCCACAGAAAAAACATGTTTGCCTACCTAAAAAGCATATTTAGGTTTCAAAGGCCCGATCCCATTTCTTATTTTTACCCCTACCCCTTGTTTTTGAGTGGCACCTTGCCCCTTGTGACTGAGTTAAAAGGGGTAGTGGTTGAAATCTTCCCCTATGAAATGGGACCCTCAAATAAAAAAGATTACTTCAACAGGCTACTAGTGGTGCTCTGTAGGCGACCCTGCCAGTCTGCAGTGACAGCAGAGGAGGGAAGTTCAGCTCCTCACTGCTGGGCTTTAATTACATTTAAGAACTCACATGCCTTCAAAGAACGGAAGAACTGGCTTCTTGTTCGAATTTTCCCATTCCATCTTAAATGGACCATTTAAGGTGGAACGGGAAATTCACCTAGCTAGCTACCGAGACATCATCATACTACTAGCACTTTTTTTATTATTGCTATGAAGAAAACTACCATAATACATTAAAATGACATTAAAGTTAGATAATACAATGGTTATTGTAATTTTTTAACAGAGAAAATTCTCATATTTGTGGGTTTCTTTGGTTGCTTGTGCAGCCATCTTGGCGGTTTTGACCCATTCTCATAACACTCAGTTTAGAGTGCACCTCTGAAAAACCTCCGTTTGGAGGGCCACGCACCCCTAACACTTCGCCCTAACCCTCCATCTCAGCAAAAATCAAGACACCCTACCCCTAGATGTGAACACGCAAAACAGAGAGGTAAGGGCTGAGTGGTATGGGGGATGGGTAAAATGGAATTAGGCTAAAGAAACTTCACATGATATAAAAGTTCTTTACCAAAATAACGGTTCTCCCAAGAACCTTTACATTATGTGGAGATTAGTTAAATTTTAAAATGGTACCTTCATTTCACTAAAAGGCCCTTTAGGGAAATGGTTCTTCTATCGCATCGCACAAAGAACCCTTTTTGCCATTTTTATTTTTAAAGGTTATGTTCTTCCTTGTGCTGAGTGGCAAAAATGTATTATAATTTAAAAAAAGTTTAATTTTTTGACATAATTTGACCGACTGCTCGTGTGAAAATATAATGACGAACGGAACAACAGAATTACCTGTTCAGAATGAACTGAAACAAAATCTTGTTATATTAACTTCCATTGTAGTTTAAGAAATGTTCATTCCTTCTCCTACAAAGTTACTATTCTGCTAATTATTCTAAGTTTTGGTCTGACAATGACAATAAGCAGCTTTAAGAAACAGATACGTTCAACATGAAAACAGCACCAAAATGAGAACACCAGTGGGCACTGACTAGATGTGTAGAGTAAAGATGATGTCTCACCTGGTGATGATGGCCAGGTGCGGAGGGCTCATGCAGGCGCCCATGAACAGCACCACGTTCTCGTGCCGTGTGTTCCGGTACGCCATCACCTCCCGCTTAAAGGCCTTCAGCTGGTCCTCATTGTCCCGCTCGATGTCAATGAGGCGGATGGCCACCTCTCCGTGCCAGCGGCCGTGGTACACCTGCCCAAAGCGGCCCTTGCCTATCAGCTCTCCGATCTCCAGCTGCTCGAAGGGGATGTCCCACTCCTGCAGGAAGATGCTGGTCTGGCTGGCTTTGCGGGGGAAGTTGCGCGCCGACAGCAGGGACAGGTTCATCTCCTCGAACTCGTCGGCCGAATCCCCCGCTTCATCATTCCCCTCCTCATTCTGATCAAGAAAGAGAGAACAGGCTGAAATTATTCCATGAAGCGAGACTTCAGAGGTAGCTAAAGTCAGCAAATGCTGAAACTACAGTTTTGTACTACTGCAGTGAAACAAAGCTTGCTTGACGTGTTGGCTTTGTAGCTCTACTGCAAAACTAAAGAAGCACTTTTGGCAAAAACCAACTTTTCAGTTATGAATGCACTGATCAATCAGCATGTAACATGATGTATCCATGAAGTATTTCAACCTAGATTTAGACCCCATCGCAGCACTGAAACAGCATTACCAAGAATTGCCAGTGATTTACTGTTGTCATCTGACAACAGATGCATCACTATCCGTGTGCTTCTATTTGATACTGCAGACATGACTGAAAATGAGTTAACAGACTCACTCTGTCTCCTAGTTTAGATCCTATTTGACCAATCACTATCAGTTTGCTGGTGTAAATAATGAATTTGCTGAGCTTGCCAAAGTAAAATGCGAGGTTCCACAAGGGTTGGTCCTGGGCCCATTATTATTTTCCCTCTATATGCTCACACTTACGGTATAAATTTCCATTACTATGCTGATGACACTCAGCTAAACAAAAAGACGCCACAGTATTATTTCCTCCACACACACACACACACACACACACACAGTTTAGTGCTTAAAGGAAAGTATATCAATTGTATGTGACAAATGAGCTCATTTTTTCAGTCACATGTGTGCTACAGCATAAGCATGACTCACATCTGAAGTAGGTTCAACCTCGATCTGCAGCAGGGGGTTGCCTTTGTTACTGTTAGAATAAAGAAAGAGAGGAAAATCAGTTACATCACTGAACAGATGCTACACTTCAAAGATGTTTTCATCAGTGTAATATAAAGCTTATCAGACAAATATAACACTGAAAAACCAATTTCATTACTATGTCACTTATTTTGTGTCTGTACAAAAGGTTTCCAATTTATTTTATAGTTGTATTATTTATTTTTTATAGTTGTAACAGCAAACATTTTAGAAAAGTTTAACCAAAACTCCCTATGCTGCCTTGCATGTTTATAGATATAATGCATGGCTCATTATGCAATGTCACCTCATATTCTATTGTTTCACAAAACAGACAGTGGTTTTCAGGCTGGACCTTAATGTCACGGCTGGCTTACTAGGATTCTGCCAACATCTACTACTAAGCAACATGATTGCAAGCTTGTATTCAATGGACCAATAGAAAGGGTCCAAAATTTCCTGGAATAACATCTTGTTACATTAACTACGTTAATTTTCCTTCCCCTGTAAAGTTACCATTTTGTTACAGCAATAATGAATAATGTATAATTATAATTTAACACTCATTTAAACCTGGATGTTGATATGTATGTGCAAACTGAGATCATACAACCAGAACATAAAACCAGTTCAGTTTTCAGATAAATGTACAAAATGACTCTGAAATGTTAGTCCAGTGCGCTTCGCATGATACTAATTATAAATAAATAGAAACCTGTGAATAAAAAATGGGAAATGTGTCCAGAATGATAAACAGAGCCTGTATAATGTTTTGTATAATGTGCAGAGTAGCATAGAACAGGGTTTGAATCCCCACTCAGGTAAGCACACCATGCAGCACCAATAAGAGTCCTTGGGCAAGACACCTAATGCTACATTAGCTTTTCTTTGTAACGATTAGAAACTGTATGACACTCTGAATGAGCTTGTCTGCCAAGCGCATTAATGTAGAATTGAGAAGCTGTAATCTAGTGGAAATCAATGCTAATGGCATGAATAAAATTCAAGAAAATAGATTTTGTTAAGAATACATTTTCTTTTTTAACCAAATTCCTGAAATATCTAATATAATAATCTAAAAATACTGCTAGTTAATAATATTTAAATTTTATAGGGAAAGTGACTGCAAACTTTTGCCAATAAAGTACATGCTGGTAGTCTTAACCTCAAACCTGGTTCAAAGATTAAAGTAAAAGTAAGCCCTTATGTGAAAGGGGATCAATGTTCTATAACCATTCGCTTGGTCATTAGCTCCACGCTCGAAACTTCGGACTGTTGGCTCTCAATGACTCACTCTCTTGTCTGTGGTTTGAACAGAGCAACACATTCCTCCAGCAGCCAGTGGAGACAGAGCCTAGCAGATAATGACTGCACACCCTGCTAAGCAGGCAGAGGGCTGGTCATTAACCCATAGCCTTGCGCATTGAGGGCCCAGAGACCTAGGAGGCCTCACCAGTGAGAGCAGTCAAGAGGGGGCTTTTGCCGCTAATTAAATCAAAGGAGCGTGCGCTTGTTGGGTCTGTAGTGAGGCGTGCATCTCATCACAAACCGCGGCTGCTCCACTTTCATCAAGAAACAGAGACGCTCCGTCACTCTGCCCTTAGATTGCTTTGGTTAGATATTTATTTTGTGCAGCAATGTCAGCATAAACATGTGGACTGTGACAAAGTTGTCCTATTCAAGAAAATGGGGCATAATGCTAAACAAATCGAATACAGACCGAGGTTGACTCAGTCCACATGTAGCATAGAAATACAGTTTGTATGGTAGCATTCATTTGACTTCCGTTAATGCAAGGAGACGTTGACTTTTATGGGCCTTTGACTTCTCCCAAACACTCTCAGATCCGGTTGGCATCATCACTGTAGCGTGAAGTGAAGGGCATCGCTGCGCTTGCCCAAAGTGTGCGCCTCGCGTCTTCTCGCGTGTCTCAGTTTTAGCGACGGAAATATTTTTGCTCCAATAATTCGCTTATTTTCAAAACGTTCATGCCCCCCATAAATAGACACAAGCAGTGATGTAAGTGTCTGTCATGTCTGTGCGTGCAGTGACCCCGGCTCTAAAACTGGATACTGGCCGGAAGATTACAGAAATAGGCCCCGGCTGTTTTCGAATAATCTTTCGCCTATTTTCACACAATATTTACACATTTTGTTTATGTAATGCATTGAACACAAAAACAATATGCTAAATTCTCATACACCGGTTTACTGCTTTGAAAACTAGGCCTATTAGTCAGTTATTAACCTTCAGACTTACAGTACAAAAGTCAGAGACTACCCTTGTTTACTGTAATTTCCAGTCAAAACGGCCATTAACATTCATACTTCCAGGAGATGTTTCTGCGGAGATCAGATGTAAGATCACTTGCATAAGGAAGGGGAATGTTGAAAGAATTGAAAAGAGCTCAAAAAATTACTAAAAGATACAGAGAAAATTGGATTCCTAACTCCCAACAACTGTGTAAGACCTGAGCACCGAAACTGTCCCCATCAGACAAACAGAACTTAAAAGTTTATATCATCTTTAAACGAGAGGAGAAATTTGAGCTCCACTCACAGAAAAATGAAGAAAATTTGCAGCAGAACACCTAAAGTGGCCGTCTGACATGTACAGTAAGGTTTCATGGACTGATGAACCTTTGTATTTGGGATTATTTGGATTGTGAGAAGCAGAAAGTGCAACCAACTTCTAAGACCAATAATACCAGTCTGCAGAGCCGCAGAGGCACAGTTTCACCCCAGCAGTTTCAAGCCAGTAGTATTCAGCACATGTGCCGACACTTGTTTTGTTTTTTTCTTTAGCAAGTTTTAGACTAATCAACATTTCAGTCATTTATGTGAGTTTCCAATAAATTTGTAAAACATTTGCGCTGTGCTAAGCTTATATTTTAAGATTTGGGCTAAAACAAACTAGTTTGAACGCATATAGAGATTCACAGGGTTAATACTACACTACAGCTTCTATGGCCTGGTTAAACTAATGGGTTAAGTAGAAATATAGCTCAATTAACTTAACCTTAACATAGGGCTTTATGTGTACCCTTACATTACATGTGCAGGAACAAAACTTTACCTTAAGCAGCATAAACTGAGGATAATATTAAGCTTTAGGCTAAACACACACTTTAGTTTTTGAACACGTCCCAGTTGAAAAAATCCACAGAAACCATTAAGCGTATCTGTTGGTTTCTGATGGTTTTGTAAATTGGTTTGGCTTACGGTTTAACTGGTTACCAATGATTGATTCATACACTGGCATCGATATCCCTTCCTGAATGGTAATATGCATGACTACACATACAACCAGCACAAACAGTCGCTGTTTACATTAGAGACGTTACAAATGAGCAGACCAGCCACTGGTTGAAGGGGCTCTTCAGTCAGACCTTTCTCTCTAAGACTGAAGTTTGCAGGTGAAAAATCTCTAATTACACTGAAGAATTGAAAGCAAGTTCACCAAAAAAGAATGGAAGCTGCAAAAAGGGAAAGATGGAGTGTTAAATGTTTGTTTTCTGATGTTGAAAAACATACTGACTTTTGCCAAGAAACTACTATGTAAGTTAATTTGTGAAGAACTGACCTAAAGAGCAGATGATGCTGTGGAATATGTAAACAATTCAGAATAAGCAATTACGCATTAGCTATAGAAGAAGATTTTGAAACAGCCTGATCACAAGTGTTAGTTTAGTATAGTGTCACCATAAACACCCCAACTCTCTTTCTAACATGTGCACATACTTACCCAGGCTCTGACAGCACAGGATGTAGGATAACCTGAGGAGCTCTACTGGGAACCTCTGGGGCCACATCTACATACACATACAGACAATAAAATCATTACAAATTAAACACTGACTTTATTAGCTGCTGTCTGGTTGATATTGGATTTGTTACAAATGATATGATGGCAAACTGGCCAAGCGCACTAGGCTTGATATATTTAACCTCTTGTGCCATTTTCATATGCAAATGGGACGCATTATGCCCACATCTTATGTGGGAAACTGGCACACAAGCCTAAACGTGCAGGTTATGGGCTGTGCTTATGGAAAACTGCAAATTGTGTCTCTCTCCCTCATGTATATGCAAATGCAAAATGTGGGAGGATTGCATAGAAAATGGGTGGAGATATCAGATGTGAGGGCTGGTATTTCAAATTCTGATCGGTTTACTAACATTTTACAACTAGCTGCGGCCTGTTTTTGCCTTTCAAAGCCAGGCATAAATTTGCGGTTGTGTCTCAAAAGCGTGTTGACAGATTTCTGTTAACAGCGGCAGCAGCCATCATTGCATGAAATAATGTTTTTCAGTAGAATAACATTATTTAATCTCTCAGAATCAGATGCATGTAGTAGAGAAGATGCAGCGCAAAATGTGCTGTGATGGAGCCACAATGTACACTCGCGGTCCATGCAATTCCATTTTCTTAGCTGAAGTAAAATAACACGCCTGTAGAATGTTTTGGTGGGAATGAATTTGATTCACTAGCATGACTTTCTCTCTTTGTGCCACTGATCTTTCATTTTCTCTGTTGTCTTGAGCTTGTTGACTCCGTCTTTTAAACCCAACACCTCACAAACATGCAGTCGGTAGGCAGTCCTGTGCACAGTTTATGGCAGGGAAAGTGGGAAGTACTGGGTGGGCTGGAGCCCCAGATTTCAGGATTGTTGAACTGCAACTGCTAAAAGCAATATGTGTGCTTGTTGTATGATGCTGTTCGTATTTTTATGTTTTGTTTATATATGTAAGGTCAAGTCAAATCATCTTTATTTATGTAGCAGATTTAAATATGTACACACACACACACACACACACACACAGCATACACACAGCAGCACTGCTGTGTCTGATCCACTCGTACCAGCACAACACACACTAACACACCACCACCACGTCAATGTTACTGCAGTGCTGAGAATGATCCACCACCCAAATAGTACCTGCCTTGTGAGGGTCCATGGGGGTCCTGACCACTGAAGAACAGGGCTAACAAAGTGTGCAGAGAAACAGATGGACTACAGTCTGTAATTGTAGAACTATAAAGTGCACCTATATAGTAAGTGGAGCTGATAAAATGGACAATGTTATTAAATATTGAAATATAGATGTACAATATATAGTATATATATATATATATATATATATATATATATATATATATATATATATATATATATATATATATATATATATATAGTATGTATATATAATATATTGATATTGTATGTTTTCTTTTTTTCAATGTGTTTAGCAAGTAAATAGAAATTATGCACAAAAAGTTGGCAGAAAATTTAAATAAATGTTTTGGACGTGTTATTTTCACTTAGACAATCAACAGAACACGTCATTTGACCAACTTCTACGTATGACTGCATGTACACTCATTTGCCATTTTATCAGAACACCCACCACATATTTGCAATCACAGTCTGTAGCTCGACTGTAGCCCAATTTATCAGCCCCCTTCTACCCCGAACTTCACTGGAAAGAGACTTCCATGTGTGGGGTTTCATTCTCAGCAGAACAGAGATGCTGACATACGATTGTGTGTAGGTACAAACGTACCCAGGTCAGTGAATGTTGAGATATCAGAGCCCATGCTGCCCTTCCACCACAAGTAAGCCTTCCATCATGTCCTTTCTGCTTTCTGCATGTTCATCAAAAGGCTTTTCTACCACTAAGGGTATCCCACTGAGCCACTCGCGAGCCTTTGTTTGTTTAGAAGGACCAACAGACTGGCCTTTACAAGGCCCATCATTAGGCAGCACGGCCATGCCGGTTTAGAAAGGAGAAGAAGGGGCAGTGGGGGGGAGGCATGGCACTGCGCCTCAGAGAAAAGACGGTGAAAAATTGCATCAAAAGAGTTGTCCTTGGCCTGTCACATTGCATTATGGGTAGAGGTAACGTCCAATTATGATGCACTTACCAGGGAAGATGAACTGCTGCTTGTATTTGTAGTAATGAGATGCTGGGAGAGAAAGAGAAGGAGAGACAGAAAGAGGTTGGCTCAAGATATTTCTTATTATCTTAAATGGGAAAAAACTTCAAGACTCTCTGAATTACCTTGTTTATATATCTCAACAACTGAACTGCGCAGAGATTTTGGTGCTACCAGAATAAAGCTTGTTGTTATAATGTGAAATGTTATTTCATTTATATTCACATTGTACTGGCCAATCCAGAAGATGCATTACAGCTAAGGCTATGTTCACATTACAGGCCTTACCGATGAATTCTGTCATTCTGTATTTAATCCCACCCCCCCAGGCTCCACTTATAGGTTTGCGTGGATTTATGTACCAAAAGCAGTCATAATTCATTTATACATAATCATTTATACCTCTTTATTCCTTAGAATTAAATATTCTATACTGTAAGCGACCCATGTGTCTCAGTAGTGTGAACAGGTCTGTGCCCTGAAAGGACCTGCACACACACCTTTTTGAGCGTTCATACCATTATCATTGTGATCCACATGTGACCCTGGATGACCCTGGAGTTCTTTTTAAGGTTGCATGGCTACGTATTAAGATATGTATCCATTCTAGGACCACATATGAAAGCAGTTCAAATCTAATTTTGAAAAAAATGACAAGAAGACGACGACAGGAAGTTTTTTCTATTCACATGTCACTGAAAAAATCAGATTTGGGTCACATTATGGCAAAAAAACAATTTGTACCCATCCAACCCTGTAATGTAAACATAGGCTACAGGACTTATTGTACATGCATTTGCGTAGTGGTTTCTGCACATACCTGTTAGGTTGGGCTGCTTGGGCTGTCGGATGTTCTGAGGAGAGGGATGGAGTGGGGAGGGTGGAGTCGCACTGGGAGGGAGGGGAGGAGCAGGGGATGAAGGGGTAGAGGAGGTGGTGGAGGAGGGGTTGCTGCTGGAGTCAGGCTGATACGGCACAGGGATGTGGTCCTAAGACACAGAGAGAGAGAGATTCAGGGGCAGCATATTAAAGAAATATTACAGCATTTTTAACTGTCTGCTATTATCTCATTAATTACTGTGGACAATAGTTTCAACACATTTTCTTGCATTTAGGAAAGAACTGAAAACCTGTTGACTCGAAACATCTGGCATATACATGACTATATAAACCAAAAACAAAACCGTTACAAGATCTTTAACAATACAAGTCATAAGACGAGACAGACATGAGAGAATATCTTATCCTCGATTATAAAAACGGGTCTGGGTATGTTTTTATCAAGTTTTATTCAACTGAAGCAACACAGGAAAATTCCAGTTACATTCGCTTTATAGCGAGAGCTCCACTTAAAGTATGTGTGGATTTATTTACCAAAAGCAGTCATAATTCATCTATACATGATTATTTATACCTCTCTTTATCCATTAGAATTAAACAAGCTGTTTTTCTTATGGTGCCTTTAAGACTGATGTATGCAAATGGCCTCTGTTCTGATTGGCTGCCCTGTATTGTGACTCATTCAAAAAGCAATCAGGGCTGAAAGACTCCTCATAACTTCAATATCAGTGGGTGGAGCTAAACTGCTGTAGGCTGAATTGGTGAATGTATGTAAATGAGTTGGTTTCTATGACACCACAAAAACAGTGAATTGAAGTCAGGCTGATTTTGCAGCTTAGTTTCCATATACGAACCGTAAGGACTGAGAAATTAATGGCACAATTTTGAAAATGTAACAGTGGTTAGATGTTACATCAATCTCTTTATTTCACAAACATAAGGAAGATTCCATTTTCCATATTATGGGCCCCATGCACAATCAAGTAGAGTATAAAAACTCTGACCACTCTACTATACTAGTACATCAACATAATACTGCACATCATATAGATTTACAGCTTATTTTACAAATTCCTTCAACTAAAGAATTCATGAAAGTGTTCCGCAAAAATATGTATTTCATATAAACGCTTACTGATGGATTTCACCAACTATTCATTGCCTTTTGTTTTTTTAAGTAGCACTAAACAAGTCTAATGTTGTCTGTGATAATCAACCATATGCTACAGATGTGACAGACAGACATTAGTTTAAAAAACACTGGCGTTTCCTTTAAGCATCAGATATTCAGGTCTCAAAAGTGGGACTGACATCTTTGTTCATTAATGTTCTGGCACCACACACCCTCATTCCCCCACTCAGGAGAGAGCGATCATCCAGCCAGAAACCAGCAGGAGTGGATTAGTGCTGAAGCCAGAGCCACAGGCCCAAAGGCCTGAACGCCAGCCAAGCCAGCTACCTAACACATGGAGCTACCTTTACAAAAGCGCAGAGCACATTCAAATCATTCATACATGAGATTTGAGTGGCATGACGAATATATTGGCCAATCACTGTCTCTTCTACTGTTACGCTTGGCAGTTTTCAAAATGCATTAATCTACAGAAAATGAAACATGTTTAGTAATACAGAGAACTAGATAAGTGACAAGCTTGCACATCGTTGCTCATGTAAGCAAATCTTGTATCTCCAAACTGGAAACTTTGTGGTGTCAAAGTTAACATAATAAATTAACATTTGGAAAATGGGGTAACACTTTCTATGAATGTCACATTTGTAAGCATCTATAAACACATTTATAACATATTATAATGCATTCATATGGTTATAAACATTTATAAAAATGAATTACACTTTATAGCCATGTTTATTATACATTATGAATTGTTAATATAATGCATTAGTAGTGTTGATAACATGTTATACTGTCAGTGCCAAAGAAATCAGTCCCAGCTTGGAGAGCGTAAAGTAAAAACAAATACCAAGCTAACAGTGGTGTACATGGTTTTATGTAGAACCTTTACTTTATTTGCTTTATAGCACCAAAAAAGTTCTTCTATTGTAACAAGCTTGACATTGTATTGAATCCTTCTCAAAAAGGTTCTGTATAGAACCATCTACAGCACATTTTCCATCAATCTGAAGAACGTTTTCACGATGCAAAGATGATTCTGTATAGAACCTTTTTAAAAAAGTTTCTATATATAGCACCAAAAAGCGTTCTTCTATTGTTACAGCTTGACATCATAACAATAGAAGAACCCTTTTTGGTGCTATATAGAACCCTTTTCAAAAAAGTTCTAGATAAAACCATCTACCATTCTGAAGAACACTTTCATGATCCAAAGAAACCTTTAATCATGCAAAGGTTCATGGTTCTATATAGAACCATTTACTTTACAAAAGAACCCTTGAAGAATCATCATTTGAAAGAGTACAGCTGCAGTGTGCTGCATGTTCCTGTGATGAAATCTGCGATGTGGTCATCTCATTCAAATATAGCTTTTAAATGTCATTTAAAATGATATTACTTGCACCGTCTGCAGACTAGACTGGACAGTGCCTGCAGAAGATCTATACATAAATCAACAAGCATCAAACGAACAAAAGCAACAGCAAAGTGGAAGCCAGTTCCCGAGAGCCTCCACTGTAACATGTATGACTGTATATATCAAAAAACACTGATGAGCCAGAACAATGGCTAATTTGGTCCTCTGTGTGCTGCCAAAACAGCGCTGACCCACCATGACATTGACACCTGTGGTATCTGGCACTGAGATGTTAGCAGCAGATCCTTTAAATCCCGTAAGTTCTAAGGTAGAGTTGCTGCGGATTTGGACTTTTGTTCCAGCACATCCCAGAGATGCCCAGCTGGAATGAGATCTGGGAAATCTGAAGGCCAGGACAACACCGTGAAATCTTCATGTTCCTCAAACCATTCCCAGACAGTGTGTGCAGCGTAGCAGGGGACATTATTTAACTAAAAGAGGCCACTGTCATTGCAATGAAAGGATGTACCTGGTTCAAACTGACCCCAGACCTAAGGTTTCCCAACAGAACATTGCCCAGAGCATCACACTCCCTCCACCAGCTTGTCTTCTTCCAACAGTGCATCCTGGTGCCATCACTTCTCCAGGTAAATGGCACACACTTACCTGGTCATCCACGTGAGGTGGCAGCCTTCTTCTATTGTTCCAAGGTCCAGTTCCGGTGCTTGCATGCCCGCTCTTGGAGCTTCTGATGCCGGACAGGGGTTAGCATGGGCCCTTTTACAAGTCTGCATCTATGTGGCCTCATACGCAACAGGGTGCGATGCACTGTGTTGTGACACATTCCTCCCATAACGATCATTAAAAAATGACTTTTGACTTGTGCCACAGTAGCCCTTCTGTCGGTTCAGACCAGACGAGATAAGCTCCACGGCCCTTGTGCACTGATGAGCCAACACCCTGTCATTGGTTCATGGTTTGTCCCTCCTTGGACCGCTGTTGGTAGATGCTCACCACTGATAACTGGAAGCACCCTCAAGCCTTGCTGTTTCTGAGATGCTCCGACCCAGACGTGTAGACATGGACAGTTTGGCCCTTGTCAGATTTACTCAGGACTTTGTGTCTGCCCATTTCTCCGGCTTCCAACACATCGCCTATGAGAACTGACTGTTCCAGCTTACCATCTGATATATTCCAGACCTTGACATGCATGTCATTACCAAATAATCATCATCATTATATCTCATAATATTTTGGCTCCTCCGTGCACTCATACAATGTACACTCATTGGTTGGAACATGCTGCTCTAATTGGACGCCAGTAATGAAAACTAGAAACTGTGTTCATTCTATGGAAATCGTGATACTCATGTTCAGATTATTGAGAACGCTGCATTCACATGATGAAAATGATGTTATTACATCAGTGAAAGTAATAACATTTTGAAGGAGCTTATTTTCTCCATAAGCTTAAACAAAATGCACTGTTTATAAGCTGAAAAAAAATTATTGGACTGAATAATTTATTATAATCACGATTAACTATGCCAAATAATATGATTAATCACAATTATCTATGCAAATTGATGTGATTAGTCGGAATGTCTTATTTGAATCGTCTGGCAGCCCTAATGTTAAAGTAGTAAGGATTTCAGGCCATTTTTATTGGTCCTTTCGACATGAAATGTTCATAAAACGTAAAGAGCAGCTGACATTTTCATATGGTCGAAGAATAATAACTAAGTTATGAAGTTCTCATATGACAGAAACAAAATGTGAGATGACATTATGAAATACTGCCTCATCATTAGAGACTCTGCATTCTAAAGCTCCAGTAGGTCAGTGATGAGCTGGACGCCGGAGGTTTACACACACACACACACACACACACACACACTCAGTTGTCTCTTGTGCAAATCCCACTCTAATATAAACCCACATTCATGCTAAATTGTCACGTCTTTCGTGTCCTGGCTGGCGGGACTGAAACATTCTTGCTCAACAGATAAAAAAAAAAAACTCATAAGTATTCAGTGAACCAATGAACAACTTTTGTATTATCCAACCACGTTACCATGAGTACAGTACACTCTTAAAACTGTACCTTTTGAGTACAAATGCTGTCACTGGGGTGGATCATTAAGTGAACATCTTCAGTACCATTAGTTAAGGAAAATAATTGTACCATATTGCGTTGCACAACATATTCCACCCAAACTAACTCCAGTTTTCTATTTTAAAAAGTTAAGTTTCTCCTGGGAATGTCAATGAAGCGTACCTTCAAATTCCATCACATCAGGGAAAACTTAATTTTTCATGCTTTTTTGAAATTAAAGACTTTGTTGCAGTGTATATAAACATGGATAAAGTTCCTTTCACTCCCCAGTCCATAATGTATAGAAATTGAAACTATGCTGCAAAACAGCCTAATGTGAAACCAATGCATTTATGTATACCTGCTTATCCAGCTTCCACCAGTTTAGCCCCACCCACTCACTAAAGTTATAAGGAGTGTTTCAGCCTGGACTGCTTTCTAAAAGAGGCAAATTACAGGGCAGCCAATCAGAACGGAGCTTATTTACATATCAGTCTTCAAGGTGCCACAACAAAATCAGTCTAATTAATTTTAGGCAATAGAGAGAGGCGGGAAAAAGTAATTGATTAAAATGATTATTAATTATTGGTACATAAAACCACACAGACATCAAGTGGACCTCCGTGGAAAAACAATAAAATATGAAATGGCATTTTAAGCGGCTTAAACATACTACATTTTGATATACTGGTATACTTTGGTATGATTTTTTTTTTTTTGGGGGGGGGGTCATTTACTTCAAACAGAACATGTGTTACGTGTAATGTGCTATCACATGTCAAGTTCTGGCCAAACTTCATGCAAATGAGCTGAGTGACGACCAATCAGATTGTTGATATGTGGTGCATTCAAGTGCACACCAAGCAGCTGGTTAAAAAAACTTTGTGACCAAAGCATTAGAAATGATAACTTTGGATGATTTTTAATATTTAAAAACAGCATTAGGCCACGAATATTGCCAGTGTTTTAACGACATCAACATAATGGCAACAATGGTTACTACACTATTTATTTTAAACTTCATTCTATTTTTTTTTATCATTATTTTGCAGTTTCAATTATACAATCCTGAAATCTGGGAATGCTGCAGCCCCCTCCCCACCCCTACTTCTTGCATCCATGTTGCATAATGGAGCAATTATAAAGTGGCTTTATATCTGAGACATAATCCAAATAGAATCTGGTTCTCTTATTTTGGTTACTTTAACTTCACTTAATTAGTTAATCAGCGTGTTGAAGTAATTAGTTCAGCTGGCTATCTGTCCTGCACCCTCCTACTCACATCTCCACCGTTCAGTCTGTCTGCTTTCTTTCTTCCGCAAGATGTTCCAGAGTGCAAAAGCGCTCATGCTATTCTGATTAACACATGCTTTGATGCTCTGATGAGACAGACCCTCCATTCCGTGATGAATGTATTTTTCATTGCTGAAGTCGGAGCAGTGCTCTGAGAGGCGTCTCGGGCTGAATGCGGGCAGTGATCGATGGAGCAGAGGATTAAAATTCAGTCGGAATCCTGAGGCTACTAATAAGCAGAGCGAACACAAGTCATTTAGGCCGGGGCACCTCAAACAAACCAAGGCAATTATTTTCCATAAACCATAACCTCGGCTAACCAGGCTTTCCAGCGTCTGAGTGCACGGCTGAATAAGGCTGCATTGTGAGGCATTTCTGGAGCTGATTGGCTGAAGTGCGCAGCAGAGGGGAGGGAGAGGAACCTACCTTGTTGATTTTGTTGGTTTTGGGCAGAGTCTGGCTGATGTGCAGGTCCGTGTACCTGAGGGGGTTGTTTATGTCACACGGTACTGACTCGGTCCTGACAAGCTGACGAGCTGAGAATGGGAGAGGGAGAGGGGAAAAAAAAAAATTGTATCCAGGGTAACGGCAGGCCGTTGTCCCGGTAACGGAAAAACAGTGGTCATGGTAACAATTCACATAAAAACCTCACAAAAACTTGACACATCGTAATTGAAGGGTGCTACACAAAGACATTATAATATGTTTATATGAGCCTGTCTGAGTTTCGCGAGCTGATGAAAAAATGTCATAACTGATTATAAAGACGTGCCACAGAGCAGGTCCATTTCCACGACTTCATACGCTACGAAAGTTAGGGCGTCAATCAGATTTTGAGCAGGTGTCAGAAAGCTATAAGAGAGCGCAGGACTGCTGCTAGACGGCCGTACAAGCTGCCGAGGCAAATCTTTCAAGAGGAAATCCACTGTGACGCCTGCTCTCGAAATGTCATTAGCACTCCCACAAACATACAGTAATCGATTGCATTACCTTGAGACGTCCCTTGATCTTCGGGAGAGGTGGAAGAGGTAAAAAAAAAGAAAAGGCAGATACAAAGGTAGGACAGAAAGAGGGATTGGGAGCAAAATTGAGAGGAAAGAGAAAACAGAGAGTAGAGAGAGTAAACATACATCAACTAGTTCACCATCATGAAATCCCATGCATGATGGAATACAGGTTACATATCACTGCTGTCGGAAGAAAACCTTGTATCTCCATTTTTGTCGTTTTTCAGTTTTTGACATAATTTGAAAATGCCTGTTGCTTTTTACACTGTGTGTAAACTTCATGTAGAATAGACCAAAAGAAACGACCCAAAATGACTTGGAAAAAAGTCTGGCTCCATTGACTTACATTAAAAATAAAGTAGGTTTTTCCCTTCTCTTGTAAAGTTACCATTTTGAAGATACGGTTTTCTTCCGACAACAGCGATATACACTATTTAGCATTACCATACACTCTTAGCAAAGTTCTATATAATACCAAAAAATGTTCTTTGGCTTGTAACAATTTGGTGCTATATCGACCCTTTTCAAAAAGGTTCCATGTAGAACCAACTACAACACATTCTCTATCAATCTGAAGAACGCTTTTGCGATGAAAACAACCCTTTAATCATGCAAAGGGTACTTTGAGTGTTCATGGTTCTATATAGAACCATTTTCTTTACTAAAGAACCCTTGAAGAACATCTTTAAGAATGTAGTAACTCTCCTCAGGCAAATCAAATACTTATAGTGCAATAAGGGAGATGTTACAAATCCTACAGCATCAAATCTCCTGTATTACAGATAGAAAAAACTGTTAAATACCTTTGAAAGAGTCCCTCCTTCCTCGATGGTATATCAGCAAATGGCAAGGAGGTGCTTCTTTGGTACATTTATTGTGGCACTTCAACCTAACAGATAAAATCAAGTAAAGACTTTCATTTGCCTCAAGAACTTTATATTAAAAAAATTGTAAGTGATTCTCCTGAGAGCGTACAGGCAAGAGAATGCCTAAAGCAACTGCCTTGATTTCAATATTCAAGGAGTATGAAATTATTAGACTTTTAATTTATTCAAATAGTCTTTTTTAAATGATAATGATAGTCAGGATCATTTGAAACTCCAGGCGCAATTACAAAGACAAAGGGGGGATTCAAAGAGCGCTGGTATTCTCAGCAGACAAAGCAAATAAAACTTTTATTCAGCTATTCACTATGGTAACGTCCATAAGACTAGCTCCAAACATATGATGACCAGACAAAAAGTTAGCTGCATGCATCATTTCTTATTCTAATACTAAGTTATGCATTGAGCACTTTATTAGGAACACCTGCACACCTGCTCATTCATGCAATTATCTAATCGGCCAGTCGTTTGGCAGCAGTGCAGTGTATAAAGTCATGCAGATACAGGCCAGCAGCTTCTGGTAATGTTCACATTAAGCATCAGAATGGGGAAAAGTGTCATCTCAGTGATTTTGACTGTGGCATGATTGTTGGTGCCAGACCGCCTGGTTTGAGTAGTTCTATTACCGCTGACCACCTGGGATTTTCATGCCCAACAGTCTCTAGAGTTTACTCAGAATGGAGCAATGAAGAAAAAGCAGCCTATGAGGGATGCTGAGAATGGAAACGCCTTGTTGATGAGAGAGGTCAACAGAGGATGTCCAGACTGGTTCAAGCTGACAGAAAGGCTACCTTAACTCAGATAACCACTCTATACAATTGTGGTGAGCAGAAAAACATCTCAGAATGCACAACATCAATCTCTGAGGTGGATGGGCTACAACAGCAGAGGACCACGATGGGTTCCACTTCTTTCAGCCAATAACAGAAAGCTAAGGCTGTAGAACGTGAGATTTGGAGCATGAAAGTGCACTTGACAAATCTGCAGGACTTGCATGATGCAATCATGACAAAAGTGGACCAGAATCTCAAAGGAATGTGTCCATCATCTTGTGGAATCCATACCATGAAGAATTGAGGCTGTTTTGAGAGTAAAGTATTAATATTGTGTTGCTAAAAAATGTTTGGTGAGTGTACAATACATGTCACTGTTTCTGGTTACTTTGAAAAAATGTTTAAATTCGGGTTGACATTCAAAACTTTAATGTAGTCCCAACAAAAAAGTGCATGTCCACTAAATTTTTATGTCCAGTGAATACATACAAAATATGACACTGTTTCTGGTCATTCTGAAATCGATGAAAAAATCTTTCAATTTGAGTTGACATTCAATACTTTAACATAGTTAAAAAAAATAAAATAAAACGCTTGTCTGAAGTTCTATTTACATCAAGAATAATACAGTCATATGCAAAAGCTAGGGCACCCCTGGACAAATGACACGTTTTGTTGATTTTTAAAAACCACAGAGAACACATTTCTGCATGTTGTAATGGACAAAGTGTTTATTTGCAGAATTTAGCATGTTGGAGGAAAAATGTTTTCCAGTATGCAAAACCCAGCAAATAAATAGAAGTTGTGCAGTAAAATTAGCAGAAAAATGTTCCCTGCAGATGAGGCGTTTACTTTTTTTTTTACTTAGAAAGCGGTGTTCAAATTTGACCAAAATTTGATCAGTGGTGTTCAAATTTTGGCACAGGACAGTTTATTTCCTTTAACCTCTGCATTTTTTTATTGTCAGCTTGTTGCTTGTTTTATAAGTTTTAGTGCCGCTGCATTTTTAACGCATATATACAATGCAGAAAATCAAGCTGGTCCCAGTTAAAATTTTTACGGAGGACTCGATGTAAAATGGCATTAATTTGCTTGAGTTCATTTTCAAATCTCAACATGCTTTTTTCAACCATAAATACTCGGTGTGAATAGGCCTTAACAGCACACATCAAAGCAATAATAGAAACAAACGGCCACTGTACACAATCTTTCGGGGTTATTATTTTATTATTCTATAAAAACAATCAGTAATACAGAGTTGGTGCACTTACTTGCAAGTTTTGCACTTCAGGCCGAATAACATTCCTTTCCCGCAGACTATACAAGTCTGCGACATCCAATACTTGGTGGAAAATCTGCAAAGATACAAATCAGTTTATAGCAGCGCTGTTCCAGAGATCCTTCAACAAACAAAAGGTGAGGTTCATTACAATGCTTTTCTTTAAAAGCAGAACATCATACTGAATCTGTTTCTAAAGGTGGACCAATAAACAGTCTGCACTTCAGTCGCAAAGATTTGTTTTGACCTTTTGACTGCAATTCTCTGCCTCCTGCGATGAAAGAGCTCAACGTGTCAAAGCAGCAGTCGTATTTACCCAATAACCTTTTCATTGAGAGACAGGCTATACGCAAAGATAGGCACTTCTTCCTCTAATGTTCAATATGGAGTAATTTAATTGTGACTCAGCGTCTTTCAATCTCTCCTAAACGCCCAGCTGTGCTTCTGCGACTGACAAATATTCAATGGGGCAAAAGCCATATGGCTACATCAGAGCAGAGAGATGATCATTCAAAAGAGAAATGAGACTTATAGCGCTCTGGGTCTCTGTCTGTCAGTCTGTCCAGCTTGCTCTCTCTCACTATATATATTACCAGCAGCCATATCTACTATGTGCACAGCAATAAAAAAGGCCATTGAGATCTAGCAGTGGAGTTCTTTGGCATGAGCTGACACTGACAGCTAATGGAGTATGACTAATAGACTCTGACAGAATCGAAATGTCTTCATTTAGACTGGCTTGCATTGTGTGGTAAAAGCGAAGGCAGATCCATCCCGCCCACGTCTCAACACTTAGATCTGTTTAAACAGTTGAAGCACCCTTTTTTCCCGAAGCCTTGGTTTTTAAAGAACGCTCACTCGCAGAGGTCAGCAAAGACAGGTGGTCAGAGATGGCCTTCAAATTGGAACTCAATCAAGCACAACAGAAAGTAAGTTTAAAGGACTCAGTGTTCTGAATCCAAACTTGTCTTTTATCAAATAACCGCCTTGATCCCAAAGCCAAAATCACCAAATGTTTGCTCAAGACATTCCTGTTCAGTGATGGGGTCTCTACCGAGTGTCCTCAAGTGTCCACATAAACAGACCACTCCCAAATACATCTGTGAAAACAGCCTTGGAAGGTAATGCTTTTTTTCGTGTGCTCTGTCTGAAGACCCACTGACGTTTTGTTTGCTGCTCAATAAACATTCAGTAATAGGAGTGTTTACGCCGAGTGACGGCATTCCGAAGCCATCAGGATGAAAGATTTACAGCACTTCAGAAGTGTAAAGTCACATTATGATGCTTTCATCTCTTACTCGGAGCAAAGGTCACCAACTCGTCCTGCTTTAACCCTCAGGCTGGCTTTACAAGGTGAAGCTTTCATGCAACTTTAGCTGCTTGAAACCTACACGAAACTAAAGCATCTTGCAACTCACTTGACACTCAGCTTCATGGAACAAAGTTTCCTGAAAAGGCCAATCAAAATGCCAATAACGCATCACATGATCAAACAACATACTTAAGAAACTACTGATTTCACCAGATCAATGGACAGGAAAACAAAACAGAAGATGGTTTATTGAGCGATTAAAAAGGATCCCCCTCCCCACCTTCTCCAGGCTGGTAATTTTACATTTTGTCAGTTTCCATGACAACAAACAGGAGTTTCTCAAAGCTAACCAGCTGCGTTAACTAGCCGGCTAGTGCTAACAGCTGTTTAAACGGCTGCTTGATCCACCATTTATTCTCCACTGAACGCCTGCTGTTATTGTGATTTATGAAGCTGGATTCATTTTCTCCTCTTTTGATGAGCCCTAAGTTTACACAAGGCTCAGATTCGTTTGGGATGCAAAAGATGGAAATTACTACAGAAGAGGAGACTGAGATGCGCTTGAGATTAACTTGCAGTGCTTCCAGGAGAAGATGAGTGAAACATCAAGTAGGCTATAACCGTAATGACCACTTGGACAAGAATTATTAAAGGCTTAACATACACACAACAGACAAAAAATTCAAGTATATAGTAAAAAGCTCTAGATAGATGGATAAAAGACAGATATGACTTCATAGCAAAAACAATGCAGTATATAAAAAAAACATGAGCTGCTAATTTGGCTAACTAGTGCAGTAATTGAAAGTGTTGCGGGCAACTAATTGTTTTTGGACTGCTTCATGTAACTGTTAAATTGCATGGAAATTGTGTTGCAGGCAACTTACAACATGGAATTAGTTGCATGAAAGTTTTACTGTATAAGGTCAGGCTTAGAAGTTGTAGTTAGCGCCTGCTGCAATTCGATATTTATTGTTCTATTCATGCTCCGCCCAAAAATATGTTCTTACTTAGTTGTGAGATTGACAAACTTTACAGAATGCTAGCAAAAATCCCTTTTAACCTATTTTGAAACATCAAATGCTCAGAAAAAAAGGGTCCTGTTCTAGTAATTCTTGGTTCCTCCAAGGTACAAACAATGTAAATATACCCTCATAGGTACAATATGGACAACATTCACTCTCTCAAAGGAAAGCAGGAGGCTTTCAACTGTTCATAACCTTTTCAAGTTGTCAATAAAATAAAAGGACTGAAACGTGTGCCGTTAACTACAATGTAATATTGCACAGTTATGTTCCCTTACTAAAGGCACTGAACATGTACCACACCAGTGTTTGTACTCTTGACGGGTAGTTTTTTCTGACACTGTACGATGCTGTACTGTTTTATTTTAGCTAAACCAAACAAGGCAGATTGGAAATTGTGACCATCAAACGTTAACTTGATCACACAAGTCAAGTCAAGTCAAGTCAATTTATATAGCGCTTTTTACAACAGGTGTTGTCACAAAGCAGCTTTACAGAAAAATCCAGGTCTGAACCCCCATAAGCATCGCCAGAGGTGACAGTGGCAAGGAGAAACTCCCTAAGAGCAAAAAGAAGAAATCTTGAGAGGAACCAAGATTCAAAATGGGAACCCATCCTCCTCTGGACGACACTGGATAGCAAACAATAACACAAGAGCAAAATGAACAGAGAAGAAGGTTTTTAACAGTAGTACAAAATATTAAAATACAGAAAAATGGAAAAGCAGGTGAAACAGTTGCTATTATTGTCATGCCTCCATCCAGCCTGACTGGGATTACTGCCAACGGGGCCACCCAGGACTCCAATTCCCCAAACTCCTTGCTGCATCACATGACCACGGACTCTCAAATGACTTCGGACTCTCACAAATCCACCTATCAGCGCTCCTCATTTCCGGACTTCTAACTGCACTCACACCTGTTCCATATCTCCTTTGTCATTTCGTTTCGTATATAAGCCCGGGCTTTAGGTTAGGTACTTTGCGAAGTGTTGTCACCAATGTGCGTACTGAGTGTTTCTCCTGTGTATCTGACTGCTTACCTGTGTATGATCCGTTTTCTGTTTATGACTTTCTGCTTTGGCTTTTATGATTTTGGACAATCGCTTTGTTATTAAGATCTTAATTCAAGCCTCTGCTGTAACCGTCTGGTTCCGTCTGCCACCGTTACAATTATTAAATAGGTTGAGTCTGTGCAGCAGCAGCAGCAGCAGCAGCAACAGGAGGTTCAGTTCATGCAGGTGAGGTTTGCACAGCGTTTGAACAACAAAAAAACCTAGATCTGGTCTATCTCAGCAGCGCAATCTCTCTCATCCAAATCATTTAAACCTAACAATACATTGTACATTTCCGTATTCTGGCGAAAATTTATCATTAGGTCAAACAGGATTTTTGCCGACATTCTGTAAAGCTTGTCCACCAGACATTTGTGGTCGGAACAAGCAGAGGTGAAGATTCTACGCTTTCAATCTGTATTTATAAGTAGGAAAGATCTGAATGTGATGAAGCTATTAATGTGTCTACAGTCTTATTTTGTGGAAAAAACGCTGTCCTTGTTTTTTCATTTTCTCCTTTTTTATCTCTTCCTTCTTTTTTCTTTCTTTCTTTCTTTGTCCTTGTTTTTTCATTTTCTCGTCTTTTTCTTTTTTATCTCTTCCTTCTTTTCTTTTTGTCTTTCTTTTTTTCTTTCCTTCTTTCTTTCTTTCTTTCTTGCTTGCAAGCACTGTATTTCCTTCAAATCTAGTTATGTAATCATGTCATGACATTTGAGTAGCAAAGCTAAACATCAGTAATAACTCCCAGCTTCTAAGGGTTAATGTCTTCCAAACAGCATTTATTCCTCCCTATTCTTTATTCAGCAGAGAAACACCAGGTTTCTCTGTGCCGTACCAAATGTCCACTGTTTTACTGTGAGATGTGTGGCATTTGGGAGAATCGTGGATTCAGTCCATGCGCAGAGCTGACGGTCAAGGCAGTCAGACAACCACTCGCTTTAATTGGTCTGACATTTTTAACTACTCCACCACACACTCACACAGGTGAGTATGCAGACAAACACACACACACACACACACACACACACACACACACACACAGTTAAACTGCACAGTTTTACATAAATGATAATTGCTATTTTGCCATTAACACAGCCTGTACATTTCAATTTATAGGTGCTGCCACAGTGAATTTACATTCAGTAGACGTTCTCACAGAACTGTCAACAACTTCTCTAAAAACTAACCTCAAAACAGTTTGCTTTAAGGTCCATAACAGATACATTAGGACTTTCAGTTTAATATTTTAAATGGAAAGCTGTGTTGGTGGATGCTAATTGCCCAGCAGAAAAGCTTTTGGCAAGTGGAACTCACTAGTGGGCATGAAAGTTAGTGATTAATTGTGATAATTAGGTGATGCATGTATAAGTTAGGCCTGCCATGATAATTCAATTTCAGCTGACAATTAACTGCAATAGAAATAATGATGATTAACAATTTAATTGCCATTTTTGGTTCACTGTACGCAGATATTGAAGTGCAAGCCTAAAGTGGTCACATATTCACTTCTGCCCCATAAACATGATACAGCACCAGTCAAAAGCTGTTCATTAGACTCATGGCGTGTCTTAATAAATGCATTTTCAGCTTTGTTTTAATTACATGTTTTTGTGTCAACTTAACAATGAAAACATCAAATTCTGTTCTGTGTGTGCAACACAGAATTCTATGAACTGTGGAAAATAATTGCGATCAGATTGAGATCAGACACAGTAATGTGTGACAGGCCTAGTCTATCAGCACTTCTACAAAACTGAACAACTGCATGTCCAAGACAGTTAGACCAATTGTAGAGAGAGGAGATGAGTGATTATACTTCAAGACATTTTCACGATATTTCTTTTTTGTTGTTTTTTTCATTAATAAATCAGAGCAGAGAAAAAAAACTAAATGTAATGATTTATATTCAGTGTTTCACATTGCTGCTGTTGAATCAAATTCTATCAACATTTTTGTCCATGTTTTACATAATTTGAACCCGAATTGACTGCTCTTTACATTGTGTCAACATTTCATGATGAATGGATCAGGAGAAATGGTCCAAAATGACTATAATCTTGAAAATGTTCTTCCTTCTCCTGTAAAGTTACTTTTTTGGAGGTGGGTAGTAACAGGTTACATTTACTCACATACATGTACTTAAATAATATATTGATGGATTTGCTCTCTTCCGAGCATTTTTAAACTGTAATACCTCACCTCACTCACTCACTGTGGGGGGTGCAGGAGCCTGTCCCAACAAAAACCTAGATCTGGTATATCTCAGCAGCGCAATCTCTCTCATCACCTCACAGTAAGAAGGGCCTGGGTTCGATTCCCCAGCCGGGCAACGAGGGTCCTTTCTGTGTGGAGTTTGCGTGTTCTCTCTGTGTCTGTGTGGGTTTCCTCATGCTAAATTGCCACTAGGTATGAGTGTATATGTTTGTGTGTCTGCCCTCCGATGGGCTGGTGACCCATCCAGGGTGCTTCCTGCTTTCCGCCCGATGACCGCTGGGACACTTTTACTTTTATTCAAGTATTAGTGTGTAAAGAAATCTTTCATATTTAGTTACTAATTCCTTTTATGTGCTTAACTTCATTCTGTTTTGTTGTTGACAACATCTGTACTGCTTTGTGATTGGTCACATCTCTGACTTTGGAGCTTTAGCATTTTATTTTAGATCAGAATAATCCAAAAGCACTGAGCCATATAACCCTTAGTTCCTACATCGACAGATGCTGGATTTACTAAGAAGTTCCACTGAGGTTCTACACGTTACACAATACTTAAGTAGTATTTTGATCTCATACTTTTGTACTTTTACTCAAGTTGTTTTATTTAAAGGTACTTTTACTTGTCATTATTTTACCCAAGTATCAGCACTTTTACTTCAGTATTGACTTAGGCTACTCTACCTACCTCTGTTGGAGATAGGAGGTTTCATTCTGCACTAAATCAAATGAATGTTCTCTTTGTATTGAAGCATGCAGCTGTTCAGTGTAAGTACTTATGATATCTACAATATGCTCAGAAAAGCATGTGATGTAATTTATCACGATGATGATAGTTATATTACAGTAAAGAGCCAGTAAACAACAACTAGTGGTAGCATATTGACAGATTAAAACTGCATAGTAGCAAGCTAATAGAATTTCAACTCATTAAGGATCTGACTTTATTTTTTTAACAATTATTTCCTTATAAAATCATTACAAGTTTTTTCTTTTTTTACTGCACTACTGTTTTTCTGGTGCATTAATCTGTTCCAGAAAAAATATTGTGACAGATATTGTGTATCACAAGGTATCAGAATATTACCTTTTTACAGTATTTTAATTTTTTATTCATTTATTTTTTTTATTGTTACATCTTTTGTCACCTAGAGACTAGCAGTACCACAGAAACAGCAGAGTAATGCATTAGATGGTCTGTGGGCTGGCCGAAGATGAGGCTAGCAGTTAATTAGGGTCATCATTTAATGAGACTGTAACTAGGAATGCAAAACTACTAAACGGACTGCATTAATTGCTGCAATTTTGTTATTAGCATACAATTAACGTTCGTTTAGAGGATGTTACCTGTGTTTAATGGAGTTGCCCAAGTCTCTGCGAGGGATCTGAGGGGACCAGCGAGGAACTGACAAAGTGTCTAGAGAGAGAGAGAGAGAGAGAGAGAGAGAGAGAGAGAGAGAGAGAGAGAGAGAGAGAGAAAGAGAGAGAGAGAGAGAGAGAAAATTAGTTAGAAAACAATTAGCTAACTTTAGAATAGCCATGTGTCCATCCCAAGGGACTTTTTAAAATTCATAGTGTAAAGGCTGCGGACACAAGCATAAAACACACTCTCTGCACAAGCTTGGAACGGAAGAGCGGAAATTGTAAGCACAGTGAAGAATTACAGCGAGTACAGCAAACAAATAATACTCTCGACTTTAAATAGCACATCCGTCTTTGCATTTCTCATCAAAACATAATGAAGTAAAGTCGTTAATTATCAAATCATTACATCCTAACTGCCTGATAGCATTTCTAATAAAGAACAGAAAGGGCAAAAACCTTTTAACCTTTTAGAGCGGTGCGGAAGTGAAAGCCATCGGCATCATCCTGCCACGCTAAAATGCTGTACCGAGTAAACAGGCAACAATTAGGGAGAATTATTATAATCGGTAGTCTGCTGTCATCGCTCAAATGGAGGAAACCCAATAATATCTCAATAGAGGCCAGTTAGACAATAATTGTGTTTGCGTCCTGCAGCCCTGTTAGTTCAAAAGGACATTCATCTAATTGAAAGACAGTCCCTGGCCAATTAGAGTCCATTTGTTTATGATTAAGAGCCTGAAGACAGGGGCGAATGCATGAGGAAGAGGGAGCAAATAAAACACACACAAACAAGCATACACACAAAAAAAACACTCAGTCACAAATAAACTATGAGAATATTACTATTCCCACTCAAACTTCTTCATTAAAGAAGTTACTTACAATAAAGTTACTTATAATTAGCCATTTCAACACAATGCCATACTGAGCATTAAAGGGGAATTCCACTGATTTTTCTAAATTTCTGCATAATAAAAAAAATATGGAAAAGATATCATTAGGAACCTTGAATATGACCGCGTCATAATGCGTATCTGGGACTGAGATGAAGAGAAATAAACACACAACCTCTGTGAAACGAACTAGACATCTAAAGAATATAATGCCTCCTCAAAGAAAGTTACATGAAACAGTGACAAGTATACTGCCTGATGACAGTGTTTTATGACAGTTTGGAGATCAGGTTTTGGCTTACATGTACACTATATGGACAAAAGTATTGGGACACCCCTCCTAACTATTAAGTTCAGGTCTTTCAGCTACACCCACCTTGCGGTCTCAATAGACAAACACTGGCAGTAGAATGGGTCATACTGATGAGCTCAGAGACTTTAAACATGACAGAGGGTGCCACCTCTGCCACAAGTCAGATTGTCAAATTTCTGTACTGCTAGTTCTGCCCCAGCCAACTGTAAGTGCTATTACTCTGGAATGGAAACATCTAGGAGCAACACCAGCCCAGCCACGAAGCTGTAGACTACGCAAACTCAGAGTGCGGCCGCCGATTGCTGAAGCACACAGTGTCTATCCTCTGTTCAATCACTCAGTAAAGAGTTCCAATTTGCTTTTGGAAGCAACATTAGCCAAAAAACTGTGCATCAGGAGCTTCACAAAATGGGTTTCCATGGCCGAGCAGCTCCACACACGCCTCAAATGCTTCAGCAGACCAAGACATTTTGGACAATTGTATGATTCCAACATCGTGGGAAACAGTTTGGGGAAGACCCTTTTCTGTTCCAGCATGACTGAGCCCCAGTGCACAAAGCAAGACCCATAAAGGCATGGCCTGGTGAGTTGGTGTGGAAGAACTTGACTGGCCCTCACAGAGCCCTGACCTCAACCCCATCAAACACCATGGGAATGAACTAGAACGGAGATTGTGAGCCAGACCCCCTCGTCCAACATCAGTGTCTGACCTCACAAATGCTCTTCTGGATGAATGGACAAACATTCCCACAGATACTTTCCAACATCTTGTAGAAGCTTCCCAGAAGAGTGGAAACTGTTATAGCTGCAAAGATGGACCAACTCTGTATTAATGCCTATGGGTTTAGAATGGGATGTCACAAAAAAGCTCCTGTAGGCGTAATGTGTAGGACGCTATTCAACCAGCAGTACAGTCAGTTTTTATGCTTGCAAACAATCTGAGTTGGTCTATTGATTCAATATTCAGAATTTCATATGCGTTCCTTCACTTTCTTTAATAAGAGTATATCATGCTTTTATTATTGTTGGCAATAACTGCAACTTAAATATTCACTGAGATTCCTTGCGACTGAATCTGTCAATGTGTATTTCTCGTGCTTTATAATAGTCTGAAAGTGAACGTGTCCCTAGTGACCTCGCCGTTCTGCTCAGCTGAACCTGGACACACAGAGAGAATACAGCAAATAAAGAGAGACCAGATCAGGGGTCACACCCACAAAGAACCTCAGAGCAGCATCGCTGCTGCCGTATCAGTTTCTTTGCCCCGCACGCTGTGACAGAGAGAGCAGTAGAAAACGTAAATAAACTGATCCCACATCAGCAGCCTTATTCAGAGACGCTTTGTGAAAACAAGAAGAAAATGAGAATTCAGGTTTTCTTTGAAAACGGCAGCGCTAAAGGTGGAGCGTATAAACGAGTTGAATTCCTGAGGTGCCTCTAGGCCAAGGGTAAACTACGTCTCTCAGCCTGGAAACATCAAACACACGAAAAAAAACTTTTTAAAAGAAATACATATATGACGTCAAAGTCTCCGAATAGCAGCACAGCTGCAACTTCCTACACTTGTGACCCAAAAAGCATGGCATGTTTACAGCAATAAAGACGGAATATTACTTGAAACAGCATAACACGAAAACAATAAGTTACCACTATTTTACAGATCTGTCCTTAACCTTTTGGCTCATAATGAAATACTTAGCATGTATTAAGCCATATCTTAAATTAGAGTGTATATATTGAACTAACAGTGGTACTCCCCACTTTCAACACAGCATCTTTAGGTTGTAATTGATTGGCAGCGTTTGGCACATATCAATAAATGGTGGTGAAAGTGTGGCTACCGTAGTGATTGTTCACTAGAATACTAACAAAAGTATGAATTAAGAAAATTGTTAGGTTCTGCTGTTAATTTACGATTTATTTTCTGTCAACAAGAACTATTTTTAGTGCACTAGTGTTATTAATAAAGTTTCTGTGCAGGTACATTTTTCATTCATTAAGGCACAAACAGTGTAAATGTTTCCTCAAAAGGTACAACAGTGCTTTTAAGGTCCAATTGTGAACTAAGAAATAAGTTTTAAGTGAGAAATAGGTTTTTCCCAGGTGAAAAGTACATATTTGTATCTTTTCATAATCTAATGTTTTAAAACAGAACAATAAAATAAAAGCCTGGAGACAAGACGGGGTGTGTGGAGTCAGTACAACTTAGAAAACATAACTTCAGTGGATTATGGTGCAATTATGTTCCCTGAAATGTACTGAGATGTACCATTGAGGGTACCACCCCAGTGACTAGAGGGGTACTGCCCCAGTGACAGTTTAGTACCTTTTTTCTGAGAGTGTAGTGTCCATACAAGAATACTTTGGTATTTGCTCTGTTGTTTTGATTTGTCTTGTAATCAGCTTATTATTCTCAGCTGATCATATAAACGACACTAAAAAGTGGAAGAGGGCAGCAGTTGAGTTGAAGTATTTCTGAGGTTTGAATTGTCTTGAATTGATACTGTAGTTTATTGTTAATCCACAGTAAACTCCAGTAAAATTTTACTGAAAGCATTTTTTTGTTCAAATATCAAGTTTCAAATAAAGTATTTATTTAATAATTGGAGTTGAGTATGTATGTATGTATCTATTTGACTTGTCACCACATGAAATTATTTTTTTAGGTTGAACTGACAAGCGAGTTACAGTGAATGAAAACATCAACATGACTGTCAAAAACTCATAATAAATTAAAATCAGAATAGTATACCTGTTTTATAGAAACAAAGTAATATAAACCAAAAATTCTAGTACTTTACAGTATCTAAGAAAGAAAAAGTCACAGGTACTGTAAAATGCTCTCTCTACCTGCTCTTATCCACATCACACCTTATGTGGGGCAGTGGCTGCTTAGTGGTTTGAGCTCTGGGTGACTGATTTCAGGGGCATGGGTCCACTTAAGTTGCCACTTTTGGGCTCTTGAACAAGCCACTTAACCCTCTCTGCTCCAGACACGCCACATCACAGCTGACCCTGCGCTCTGACCACAGCTTTCTAAGCTTGGATATGTGAAGAAGAGTTTTATTGTACTGTGAAAGTATAATGACAATAAAGGTACTTCATATCCTCCCCTCCTTATACACACAGGAATAAGCACTTGCTGATTACATGCTAGGTCCATAATGGACCATTCATTCTGAACAAAATAACTCCAGAACTGATCCCTTTTTATAGATGGTCAGCACCTGCGTAGGACTTCAGCTCAGATGGCTGCACAATCAGCAGTTTCTCTCTATAAGCATTACCATTTTTTTTATTGTGGTCTGATACAGTATTTGTGATTAAGCAAACTGACCTGAACTGTCGGCAACTGTTTTACTTTTTTCTTCACTTTTAATATTATTTTGGTATGTTTTAGTTGTTGTTTCACTTTTCTTTTTTTATTGTTCTTTTTATTTAACTTTTTTATTGGTTTTTACTGCCAATTTGTCTTAAATCTTCCATTTCTTTATTTCATTGTGTTTATTTATTTTATTAAACAGCAATACTATTGTAATTTTAATAATTATTAGATTTTTTTTCTTTACTTTTTTCTATTACATTTTTGCACTATGATTACTATTACTTTTTAGCACTTGTAATGTTATTTTTTTTTTTTACTATCCAACTTTTCAATCCCTCATTTCTCTATTGGCTCGGCTTCATTGTAAATGAGCGTCTCCCTCAATGTAGTCCAAGTTTAAATAATGGGTGACTGATTGATTGACTGACTGACCTTTTTTTTATTTCCATGTTATGTTTTGGAGTTTAAAACACTGTCCAAAACACATGCACTTGCAAACTGTGCTATTTGCATGCTTAAAT